CCCATTAAACAGCATCCCTACCGAATCAACCCACGGAAAGCCGAAATCCTACATGGAGAAATAGCCTACATTCTAGAGAATGGCATTAGTGAGCATAGCCGAAGCAGTTGGTCCCCCTCCCCATGTGTTGGTGGACAAACCTGACAGCTCAGTTTGGTTTTACACCAACTACCGAAAAGTGAACTGTCACTAAGACTGACTCATACCCCATTCCCCAGGATGGACGATCTGTAATGATAAAGTAAGCAAGGCCACTTATATTACGAAGCTCGATTTGTTGAAGGGTTATTGGTGTGTGCCCCTAACCGAGCGCGCTAAGGAGATATCTGCTTTCGCGACTCCGGATGGCCTGTATCAATACCGCGTGATGCCTTTTGGGATGAAAAAATTTGAGGCCACCTTCCAGCGAATGATGAACCATTGCCTGCGAGATCTGGCTGGTGTAGAGACGTACATCGATGACATAGTCGTGTACAATAACACCTGGGCCGAACATATGATATCTCTACGAAAAGTCTTCGATCGGTTGAAGCATGCCAATCTCACCATTAACCTTGCGAAAAGTGATTTCTGCCAGGCAGAAGTGATGTATCTCGGACACGTTGTCGGCCATGGGCGGATAACTCCGATCGAGGCAAAAATACAAAGTATAGTTAAGTACCCAGCCCCGACCAATGTAAAAAGGCCTGAGGAGATTTCTCGGAATGGCGGGTTACTATCGCAAGTTCTGTAAGAATTTCTCTGATGTAGCCTCACCGCTTACCCAACTGTTGAGGAGGAAAGCCAAATTTGATTGGACACCCGACTGTCAGAGATCCTTTGATCAAATAAAAAGCCCTATTGTGCTCAAACCCTTGTTCTCAAAGCTCCTGAATTTACCCGACCGTTCAGGTTAGCTGTAGATGCAAGTGACCATGGCATTGACGCTGTATTACTACAGACCGATGCAAATGGTATCGAACACCCAGTCAGTTATTTCTCAAAAAATTCAACAATCACCAGAAAAATTACTCTACAGTAGAAAAAAGAAACTCTTGCCCTTTTGTTAAGTTTACAACACTTCTGAAGTGTATGTGTCTTCGTCCAGTCAGCCTACTTTAGTATATACCATGACCATAACCCACTAACATTCCTCAGGAAAATGAAGAATACGAACAGGCGACTACTGTGTTGGAGTTTAGCGTTACAAGAATACGATCTAACTATTCAGCACATAAGAGGCATCGACAACGTGTGTGCTGACGCCCTGTCCCGTATCTGATCGATAAGCTTTTTGAGGATCAAACGGGGACGAAAACAATCTCTTTTCTTTTTTTTTAGAAAACTGCCGTTAATGGCATTTTTCTTTTTTTTATGGGAGGTGTCACGTAGCAACGATTTCATTAACCATATAGGCGTTAGGCTAAAAGTAAAATCTTAAATAAAGAGAAAACTAGTTAGATATAAAAGAAAGATAAATAAATAGATAAAAACAGAAATTTAATCCAATGCTTCCGATTCGCGAGCGAATATATTCTATGATCAGCCATACCCCCCTCTTCTCTTCACAAATTCTTTCTCTCTTTATCCTCTCTTCCAACCACGAGCCAAGGGCCCGTGAACTTAGAAGTGACCCGACGCGAGGATGACCTGGTTCTAAGATTTCGCGTTTGACCATGAGTGAATTCCAGACACCATCAGGGTCTCCTGCTGCGATTCACGTGATCAGGACGTACGGAGCATGCGTTGAACTTTTGGCCATCACACAAGCACTGCGTGATTTGCGCCCTATTCTCCTGCGTACCCGGTCAAGGACGAAGGGAACCCACGTGACTGTCTTTGGGGACAGCGAAAACCAAAGAAGGATTTTTTAGTTTCCCTCTGACCAGCGGCAGTTGAACGTCGCTGGGCAAAAATCGTCAGACCGCCCACTGAGATGAGGAAGATCACAAAAGTCTGTCGACGAGTTATGGAAGGACTGCTATGGACTGATCAACCCAACCAAATGCCTGTATGAAATGCTGGGGACCCATCGAACACACGCGAAAAAAAAGAATCCAGGAACATTGTCGGCCGGCCAAGATATTGTTTATCATCAGAACTCTTGCTTCGGCGAATCAAAACTTTGTGTGAAGATATCAACCCGACTGCAAGATAAGTTGGTTCTTTTGGCTTGATCTGTTTTCATATATGTATGTATTCGCTCGCGCCTTCTATTCTTTAATGATGTCCTCCCCTTTGTTAAATGAATGTTCTTTTTTTTTCTTTGTTTCGTTATATATATATTTAAAATAAATGTTTAATTTTGAAATCCATCGTCTTGTGTCTGTTCTTCGTTGATTCCCTTGTGTCGCTTCCATTTCTGAGTGAAGACCGAGAAAAGAAACCACGTTTTCCTTTTTTTTAGAACCCGTGGTTCATCTATATGCTACAAGTTCGTAACAATATATATATATATATATACATATACATATATATGTAATACGCTTCTGTTTAGTTAACAGCGTGACATACACACAGGTACATATATATATCTATATATATATGTATATCTATCTATCTATCTATATATATATATATATATATATACATATTGGGGGAGTGTCGGTGTATATAAAATGCGATACCAAAGGAATAAAAAATATTTGAAAATTCAGAAATCTTGCGTGAATATGTCATAACAGATATTTTTGGCTAGTACACACACACACACACACACAGAAACACACACACACAGACACACACACACACAAAATTCAAATTTTGTTTTAAAATACTGGTGTCGTTAAATGGTATTAACCTTTCATTTATTTATGATTATAATAAGTATATTTTTATTTATATTAATATCTCTTGACTGCTACAAATTAATACATAATTATAAATTATTTAAAAGGTTATAAATTATTCTAATTATTATTTAAAAAAATGTTGACAGTTATTTTAAAAATTCCTTCTTCATAAAATAGATTTTTCTTAAATCAATTTCTATCATGCATTTTATTCATAAAATTAATTGATTAGTTTGTCATTAAATACTGTCTTATTTTTATGACATATTTTATTTTACGATTCAGAGCAAAAAACTAAACTTTTCAAATATAATCTCACTCATTTGTGAATAATTTTGAAATTTTCATTAAATTTCGACTATTATCTGATTTTGCAATCAGTTTGTTTCTCACTACAAAAGGACGCTCAGATTCCTCATATTAAGCTTTTATCCATAATTTCAAACCATATTAAAAAGCATTAAAAAAATTAAAGCATTAAAAATAATTTTTCACTGAAATAACACAAATATTTTGATAATAAAATTTAATTTTAACATTTTGTTATCATGTATGCTTATTTTAGCGAATCTTTGGTGGGATATACATAGATACATATATTCATTCATTCATATATATATATATATATATACATACATACATATATTCATTCATTCATATATATATATTATATATATATATATATATATATATATATATATATATATATATATGTATTGTTCATTTAGTTGGCAATTCCACTTTTTTTAAGACAACCGACAAAGTATTTCGATGTGATTATGTATTTTTTATTCAATATTTCTTGACTTCGTATAAATATTTTTTTTGTATAAATTGTGTAAAAATTGTCCGAATGTTCTTTTATCGGAGCGCATTTGTCTAGTCTTTTGTCATTATCAAGGATAATTTTTATTTTTATAATTAACTAAATGTTTAGATTTTTATATATGTATCTATCTAAGTTATGGGAATATTTTCAAATTTCCTAACATATTTTCAAATTTCTCAACACATTGTAGCAGTGATCAAAATTGATGTAATTGAGTGTTGAGTGTTGGCTCATATATATCAGTTTCATAAATGGCTCCGAGTTTTTTCTTTGTTGTTCAAGGCGAAGCTCTTCGCCTCGATCTTTGTCTCTAACAACGTTTGATGACAAACGCCACCCCTTGCCGATTTCTCGCGTCTCACTGAGCACAATCTTAAGAACATTTTCATTACAGCTCAGGAAGTCTATCGACTTGTCAAAAGGCCTGAGATCCTAAGAAGTCCACCGGTCCAGACAAAATCCTTCATTTCGGCTTTGATAATATTAACCCAGAGTTATCCTCAATCGTATAGAAAATATTAACACGCCGATTGAAGTGGAAATTTTACCCAAGTCTGTAAAATGTCAAGTGCATGCCCGGTTTTCAACAATGAAAGTGAGCACTTATCACCATCACTCTATAGACCTATCAGTCATGATACACTGAGAAGACTGATATGTCTTTGTAGCTATGATCAATAAAAACGGTTATTATCTCAATATATACAGCCTCCTGAATGATAAGCAGCATTACTTTCAGAATCTTAAGGACGGTCGCCTTAGATATTTCAAACGCTTGTGACAATGTGTGGCATATGGGGTTACTGCTCAAGTTAACTAGCTATGAATTCACTGGAAAATTCTTCTCAGTTATAATGTCTTTCCTAACGGATAGGTCTATGAATGTTATTGTTAATTTTCAGTTATCCGAGTCATAGGCGACCAACGTGGGTGGCTCCCAAGCAGAAATCGAGAAATACTACGCTTACTAAAGTTGAAGGCACGGAAGAATGTCTCATGATTGCCAAACAGAAGACGTGTTCAATTGTGATGTACTATTTGTTAATTTTGAAGACAAAGTCAGAATCGAGAAACTGATGTATGTATATCTGCCAAAGATTGGAAATATAAACAAATCGTGATAAAGGAATTTTTGATATAAGAAACGAAACTGTAATGTTCATAAGTCAGATTAAGCGAATAATATATGAAGAGGAATATTGATATTTGCGTATGAAATGTAGACAGCTAGAAAAATTTTGATTGCATATACAAGTCTGTGGGCTGAGAAAAATTTGTTGTTGAAAATTAAAGATAACTACAAATAATAACTAAATATTAAGAGCGGCTTTTCGTCTACGTGGTTTATAAAAATAAGATTTGTCAGAAAGACAGTCGAGTTTGGAAAATTAGACGAGATACTAAGTGAAACGTAGGAATTTCCTCATGCCATCAGGAAGTAATGGTGCGAGGCATAAATAAGATAAGGAATGAGTTGTACGGGCGGGCTGATAACTGCAACCATTACTCGTAGTAAGAAGGGATCTTCCAAATTTGGAGAGATAATTAATATTGTGAACCAGAAAAAAAGAAATCTTGTCCAAATCGAAATAGAAATCTGGGAAACCCCACTTTAGAAAGATCTTTGGTCTTGTCCGGACTTGAGTGAAAGTCAATATCGCAGAGTCTTTAAGCTACCAAGATATACGGCCTACGGCCACACACACACACACACACACACACACACACACAGAGAGAGAGAGAGAGAGAGAGAGAGAGAGAGAGAGAGAGAGAGAAGAGGGGACGAATGAACTACTGAAATCCAAGTAGCTTGCTGCAAAGAGAATTCCTGACTTTGTGCATGTTTCAAGAATTAGCACCGATAATCGAAATGTGCGCCTGAACAGCCATAACAGATGCTGATCCACCATTAGCAGCTTAGGTTTAACTGTTTGGGTGTTGATCCATGTTGTCTTGAGAGCGACGGATGCCACTCATATGGTACGAATAAATATATGGTCAATTTGCCTAAGTTTTAAGCAACCCAGAATAAGTGAAATTATATGAGAAAATGATGTCTACCCAGAAGTCCTGTCCAGAATATGACAAAATTTCACAAAAATATTGTGTAGCTCTCAGGATTTATAACTTCAATATTTCACATTAAAAATCCGTGGTCACAAAAATATTTTCTGAATGCACCCACTATAAGTCATCGAAATTAAACGTAATCCTGGTTTTGACGATGTTGATGACTTTTAACAAATATGATTAAACAAAAATATATGCATGTTATCGTTGAATTCATGATTTTCCTGTATTTTGACTTTTAAATATATTTTGTTCTTTAATTTGCAGTCATAAAAATATTATTTTAATTCCGGTTGTGTTAAATTGAATATTTTTTTTCGTCTGTTGATGATGACTTACATTGACATATTCTTTTTTTTATGACTGCGAAGTAACCTTACTTACCTCTTACCTTCACTAATCATATTAGTCATACTTTACATTCAGTGGCAATTGTAAGAAGCAAAGCGGTGGTTATTTTCACCAATAATTTTGATTAACTAATATCCGTGAAATCAAAAGAATATTTTCGCATAGAATCGCTAATAATATTAAATTAAAATCCCTTCAATAGAAAACATTCCTGCACAATCATCAGATTGATAAAAGGACAAATACAAAATGAAGACAAATGGCACAGATATAAGAAACAATTTTATTTTATTTTTATCAATCATTATAAAAATTATATGAATATATAAAAATAACTGTTGATAAATATAGATATCACAAGGTATTTCGGTATATATACGCTATAGATAATATATAAATTATATACGTGTGTGTGTATGTGTGTGCGTAACTATGTGGTGTGCATGTAGGTGTGATAGACATTGCCATTATTTATATATTTTTAACAATATGAGAGAAATATAATTCTTTATAAAAATGATATAACTGACTGACCGTATAACGGCCAACGGAACGTCCCATATTGAATTGAAATAAACATATATTAAAACCAATGAGAGGTGAATAGATAAAAACTGGTAGAAAGATCTGGAATAAAATATTTTTGCAAATGACTATATAATATTCAACTGACATTTTTTCATCTTGAAATGAAATTATATAACACGGCTGTCTATACTGGCAGGTGAGCAAATGATTTTGAAATGTCTATCATTTTTAGACATTATATTTATTGTTGGAGGGATTATTGATGATCTTATGAGCACACACACAACCTGTTTGGATGTGTTTTGTTATTAGTTTATAGACAAACAGTCCATCCACACAGACAGACGTACGTTGAAGGAAGAACATTTTAATGTAAACACGTTCACAGTTGTGCATTCCATCAGATCCAGTACATTTTGAACAACGACACACGGCTTCTGATCGATTTGATGGGAACAGTGTAGAATCTGTGATGATCTTTGTATACCAAGGGCAAGTGGATCGATCCTGGGTATCGCCGCTAATCGGTAATGTCTCGGGACATGTTGTTTCCACCCGATGCAATGTCTGGTTAGAAGACGAGGAAATATATTCAGCCGGCAATATAAATTTATTTCCGATTGATGCTTCGGCCAATCTTTCATAGTGGACATTCAGATCAGACGGAATTTTACAGGTGCTGGTCAGTGGTGCTCCTGACGCGAACATCATTCCACAAAAGAAAGCGACAGTGAAATGAATTACCTAAGAGAGAGAGAGAGAGAAAAAAAAATAAATAAAATAAATAAATAAAAATTATTACATCACAAAATCTAACTAGAAATTCAGATTCATGCCTTTATTACTTCATTTTAATAAATATATTTCAATTAACAAACATTTTTTCAGTACTATATTGCAGAGTATAATTTTTTCTGAAGTGTGTAGATTGTAGAGGGTGCAAAGAAGTCCCTCAAACAAATAATAAAAAGAAAATACACTACAAATAAAGTAAAATAAACTTTTGTTTATTTTTGTAAAGAATTATTTTTTATCTTGTACAAAAATGAAATTGTCCGTAAAGCTGCGGAAGAAAAAGAGAAAGAAAGGAACTGGGAATGTGAGAGGGAAAGGTAGGACTATGTGTAGCGAGCGAGATGAGAGAAAGAGAGGGTGAAAGAATGTTCACTGATACGTGACATTGCCTGTTGTGTGAACCGCTGAATCCTCTCGGTGTGTGTGTGCTCGAAACTGTCCGTGTCGCTTTGATGTCAGCTTGTCGCTGTTCTCTCTCCCTTCTGATGAGAGTTTCTACCTTCCTTATATAAGAATGATGAGGCTCCAGGGAGATTAAGAAATGGGTTTCTTATGTCGAGTCCTGATTGGTCAATAAATCCTATTTTTGACCACGTGGTGTGCTTTTCACTACGTCCGAACTTTTGGGTGCGCTGTCTTTGTTTTTGACCTCACAGGGCATGGTAAGGAATGAATTCCCGCGCAATTGTATTTTTGATACACGTGGTGTGAATTAAATTTTTATTGTGTGTATGTGTGTGGAAAATAAAATAAAACAACACAATACTCCCCCAGATTGGAAAATATATGAAAGATACATATTTTTTTCAATATGTGATATATTCTTTAAAATGTTTCGGCCAGTGGACTTTTCTGCCAGTTTTCGTTGTATGTCAGTATTTTGTTTTTTTAGCTTCCTCATTTTCTGTGTGAATATGTGTTTGTGGAGGTATTGTATGAGGTTGTTCGTCGATGTTCAAAATAATATATGGACGCGAATGTGTTTGTTTACATCACAAAAAAATTTTGTTGTAGAAGATAATGGTATCGGCATTTCTTTCAGTTAAATGTTTTTTGTTTGTACAACTGGAAGTGTTTCATCTGTTTTCTGCTCTTGTGCGATCAATTCCATACTTAAAGAACTGGAATTTTTTAGCTATTGTAGATCGAGATAATGCGTCTGCTATAATGTTCTCTTGTCCCTTAATATATCGGATGTCTGTGGAGAACTGGGCGATATAATCGAGATGTCTGATTTCTCGTGGACCATATTTATCTACATGTTGTAGTGCATATGCTAATGGTTTTGTGATCTGTATAAATGCAAAAATTTCTTCCTTCCAGCAAATGTTTAATTGCAAGGTAAATTGCTAGAAGCTTCCTTGAAAAGGTGCTGTATTTCGTCTGTGTTTGCTTAACCAGCAGAAAAAAATGATATAGGCGTCATTGTGTTGTTAACAATTTGGTGTATGACACTTTAGCTATTTTAGATGCATCTGTTTAAGCATTTTTTTTGTGTTCTCCTCCAAATGTTACGTAACTTTGGCTTTTGTAAAGCTGGCCAGTAGATTTTAGCTTGTTTGAAGGCTTCTAGGCTGGGCCCTTCTAACTATAGTAACTGTTGGTTCTATGTTTTGTTTTGTAAAAATCTGTTAACGGTGCAAATGGGTAAACAGTTAGGTAAAAATCGTCTTTAATAGTTAATCCATGAATCTGCGTACTTGTTCTGATGTTGGTTGTGGAAAATTTGAAATTGCATACTTTCTCGGTAGGAGAATTCCGTCCTTGTCAATTAAGTGTCCGGGAAATTAACCTTTGGTTGGCTAAAATGCTTTCTTTATTTATTTTCAGACCGTAATGTGATATTCTTTCAAATGTTTGCTCTAAGTGCTGTGTGCGCTCGTCGAGGTTTTCTGCTGGCGATTAAAACGTCATCCACATATGCAAATATAAATGGCAGACCTCTAAAAAACTTCGTCTATTAACCTCTGAAGGTTTGACAGCGTTCCTAAGCCCGAAAGGCATCCTTACGAACTCGTAAAGCCCAAATGATGTGGTCAGTGCAGTTTTATGAATGTCCTCTTCTGCCACTGGAACTTTTGGTAATACGCCTTTACAAGATCCAATTTGGAAAATATGGTGGCGCCTTTGAAGACCGATGGCGAAATCGTGGATATGTGGAATAGAGTATCTATCCAGGACCGTTTTAGCATTTAATCTTCTAAAATCGCCACAAGGACGCCATGTTGTAGCGTCGGACTTTTGCACCATGTTAGCGGTGAAGACCAAGCACTTTTCGAGGGTCGGATGATCCCTTGTTGTAATAAATGTTGAAACTCGTTTTTCGCAATCTTATACTTGTCCGGTTTCAATCGTCTGGGGTGGCATAAACAGGTTGTCCAGTTGTCTTGATGTGGTGCTTGGCATTATGTTTTATGGTGTCTGTTTAAAAAATGGCTGGGGAGAGTTGTGGATATTTTTTAGTAGCTGACGGATGTACTGGTCCTCGGGTAAGGCAGAATTGATTCAGTAGACTGGTATTTCGAGGTGAGTCCTCTTACTGAAATCTTTAGTTTGATTATCCACCAGTGTGCTCATTAGTCATGTCGACAGACAGGTTGAATCTGGCTAAAAAATCTTGCCCCAATATAGGCGTTGTTACACTGGCTATGGTAAAATTCCAGAAAAATTCCGTCGCATGCCGAGATTGATATTGAGCGATTTCTCTCCGTAAGTTGGTATTTTGGTACCGTTAGCTGCTTGAAGATGATAACACTGTGGCATAGTCTCCTGATTTTGTGTTGGTGGTATCACGCTTATTTCAGCCCCGGTGTCTTATTAAAAGTTATATCCATTAATTTTGTCGCGGATATAAAACAGACGACCTTTGTTAAAATCCAGCAACAGCCGTCGTCTCTACTGGCTGGAATTTCCGTTTCCCGCATTCGCGTTGTTGAAAGAACAAGGATGTACAACGTCTCGCCTCAGGACCAAACCTTTTGTGGTAGTAACAAATTTCATCTTTTCGATTGCGGTTGTCAGTCCGGACTCTGCTGAAAAATTCGCTTTCTGTAGCCTGGACATTTATCGCGGCGGTAACTGTTTTTTTTTTACAGTAAGTCTTGTAATTGTATAGACAACCTTTCTACAGTAGACTTGAGGTCGTTAAATTCCCTGTCTCTTTTGTTGGGCTGGTTGTGGTTGGATAAAGTTTACCCCTGCGGCTTCGAAAAACTTTCATGGATCCGATCTGCAATGTCCGCCAGAGTTTTTCTGTCTGCGTTTCCTCCGTCATGGGTGCGAGGATTTGTGTTGTTGTGCCCTAACTTGTCCAGCCATAAGCTCCGCATAATGTTCTCAGACATTTTGTTGTCACCCAGTAGGTTCGTATGTGCCTCAATAACTGCGATGGGGTGCGGTCTCCCTAATTCAACCTGAGTGAAAAGGTTGCGTAGCATGGCTCGTTCGAGGCAATCGTCCGTTTAAAATTGCTTCCTTGAGTCTATCGTACGGGTTGTCATCCGGGACATTTTCCAGTAAATCCATTACTTCCTCGACGATGTCTGCTGGCAGTTTTCCACTAAGTAACAATACCGGGTTCTCTGGGAGGTGATTCTTCGCATCAAATAATGCTTGGATTTGGAACGAACCAGGACTTAGTGTTAGTCGTGTTGAAAGCCGGGATATTCAACGATAGTGTGGCGCGAGGGGGTTTCCGAAGATTGTGATTCCATTGTGTCCTTCCTCTTCGTTTTGTTTGTTTTTTTAAATGTAGTGTCTCACGTTTTTCACCAATTTGTAGAGGGTGCAAAGAAGTCCCTCAAACAAATAATAAAAAGAAAATACACTACAAATAAAGTAAAATAAACTTTTGTTTATTTTTTTGTAAAGAATTATTTTTTATCTTGTACAAAATGAAATTGTCCGTAAAGCTGCGGAAGAAAAAGAGAAAGAAAGGAACTGGGAATGTGAGAGGGAAAGGTAGGACTATGTGTAGCGAGCGAGATGAGAGAAAGAGAGGTGAAAGAATGTTCACTGATACGTGACATTGCCTGTTGTGTGAACCGCTGAAAATCTCGGTGTGTGTGTGCTCGAAACTGTCCGTGTCGCTTTGATGTCAGCTTGTCGCTGTTCTCTCCTTCTGATGAGAGTTTCTACCTTCCTTATATAAGAATGATGAGGCTCCAGGGAGATTAAGAAATGGGTTTCTTATGTCGAGTCCTGATTGGTCAATAAATCATATTTTTTTGACCACGTGGTGTGCTTTTCACTACGTCCGAACTTTGGGTGCGCTGTCTTTGTTTTTGACCTCACAGGGCATGGTGTAAGGAATGAATTCCGCGCAATTGTATTTTTGATACACGGTGTGAATTAATTTTTATTGTGTGTATGTGTGTGTGGAAAATAAAATAAGAAACAGCGAACTCCCCCCCCCCAGATTGGAAAATATATGAAAAATGCATATTTTTTTTCGGATATGTGATATATTCTTTAAAATGTTTCGGCCAGTGGACTTTTCTGCCAGCTTCGTTGTAGGTGTGATGTCAGTATTTTGTTTTTAACCTCATTTGGCTGGAGCAAACGTTTGTGGAGCAAAGCGTAAAGGTTGTTCGTCGATGTTCGGCAATTATATATGGACGTAGCCAATTTTGTGATACATCACAATAAAATTTTGTTGTACCAAATGGTATCGGCATTTCTTTCAGTTGTAAGGGGTGTTTTTTTGTTGTTCAACCCAAGTGTTCATCTGTTTTTTGCTCTGGCACGATCAATTCCATACTTAAAGAACTGGAATTTAAAGAGGCCGCCAGTTCGAGATAAATGCGTCTGCAATTCTCTTGTCCCTTTTATATCGGATGTCTGTGGAGAACTTTTGATATAATCGGAGATGTCTGATTTTCGTGGACCATATTTATTTAACATGTGTATGGATTTGTATGCTAATGGTTTGTGATTGTATAATGCAAAATTTTTCCCAACCATCGCAAATGTTTAAAACAAGGAAAATTGAGAAGCTTCCTTGAAAAGGTGCTGTATTTCGTCTGTGTCTTGCTTAGCTTAGTTAAAGAAAAAATGATATAGGCGTCATTGTTGTTACCAATTTGGTGTATGACTGCTCCTTTGTATTTCAGATGTTTGTTATTTTCTGAGTTTTGTATCCTCACTGTCCGTTACGTAGTTTAGTTTTGTAGTTGGCCAAAGTAGTTTAGCTTGTTTGAAGGCTTTTAGTAGGCTTCTAACTTTAACTGTTGGTTCTATTTTTGTTTTGTAACAAATCTGTTAACGGTGCAAGTAATGCAGAACAGTTAGGTAAAAATCGTCTGTAATGTTTAATCACGCCTATGAATCTGCGTACTTGTCTGACTGATGTTGGTTGTGGAAAATTTGAAATTGCACTTACTTTCTCAGACTGAGGGAGATGAGTTGTCCTTTTCAATTAAATGTCCGGGAAATTAATTTTGGTTGTCTGAAAATGCATCTTGACTGTATTTATTTTCAGACCGTAATGAGATATTCTTTTCAAATGTTTGCTCTAAGTGCTGTATTACGCTCGTCGAGGTTTCTGCTGGCGATTAAAACGTCATCCACGCATATGCAAATAAATGGCAGACCTCTAAAAACTTCGTCTATTAGGTTTTAGCAAGGTTTGACAGTGGATCGTTCCTTAGGTTAGAAAAGGCATCCTTACGAACTCGTAAAATCCAAATGATGGTCCAGTGCAGTTTTATGAATGTCCTCTTCTGCCACTGGAACGGTAATACGCCTTTACAAGATCCAATTTGAAAATATGGTGGCGCCTTGCAGACCGATGGCGAAATCGTGGATATGTGGAATAGAGTATCTATCCAGGACCGTTTTTGCATTTAATCTTAAAATCGCCACAAGGACGCCATGTTGTAGCGTCGGACTTTTTTGCACCATGTGTAGCGGTGAAGACCAAGCACTTTTCGAGGGTCGGATGATCCCTTGCTGTAATAAATGTTGAAACTCGTTTTCGCAATCTTATACTTGTCCGGTTTCAATCGTCTGGGGTGGCGCCAGACAGGTTGTCCAGTTGTTCTGATGTGGTGCTTGGCATTATGTTTTTATGGTGTCTGTGTTTTTAAATGGCTGGGAGAGTTGTGGATATTTTTTTAGTAGCTGACGGATGTACTGTCCCTAAGGTAAAGGCAGAACTGATTCCAGTAGACTGGGTATTTCGAGGTGAATCCTCTTACTGGGAATCTTGGTTTGATTATCCACCAGTGTGCGATTAGTCATGTCGACAGACAGGTTGAATTGGCTAAAAAATCTGCCCCAATATAGGCGTTGTTACACTGGCTATGGTAAAATTCCAGAAAAAATTCCGTCGCATGCCGAGATTGATATTGAGCGATTTTCTCGGTAAGTTGGTATTTGGTACCGTTAGCTGCTTGAAGATGATAACCTGTGCATAGTCTCCCTGATTTGTGTTTGGTGGTATCACGTCATTTCAGCTCCGGTGTCTATTAAAAGTTATATCCATTAATTTTGTCGCGGATATAAACAGACGACCTTTTGTTAAAATCCAGCAACAGCCGTCGTCTCTACTGGCTGAATTTCCGTTTCCCCTTATTCGCGTTGTTGAAAGAACAAGGATGTGTACAACGTCTCGCCTCAGGACCAAACCTTTTGTGGTAGTAACAAATTTCATCTTTTCGATTGCGGTTGTCAGTCCGGCCTCTGCTGAAACTTCGCTTTCTGTAGCCTGGACATTTATCGCGGCGGTACTGTCGGTCTTTTACAGTAAGCCTTGTAATTGTATAGACAACCTTTCTACAGTAGACTTGAGGTCGTTAAATTCCCTGTCTCTTTGTTGGGCTGGTTGTGGTTGGATAAAGTTTACCCTGCGGCTTCGAAAACTTTCATGGATCCGATCTGCAATGTCCGCCAGTTTTCTGTCTGCGTTCCTCCGTCATGGGTGCGAGGATTTGTGTTGTTGTAGTGGGTAACTTGTCCAGCCATAAGCTCCGCATAATGTTCTCGGACATTTTGTTGTCACCCAGTAAGGTTCGTATGTGCCTCAATAACTGCGATGGGGTGCGGTCTCTAATTCAACCTGAGTGAAAAGGTTGCGTAGCATGGCTTCGTTCGAGGCACCGATCCGTTTTAAAATTGCTTCCTTTGAGTCTATCGTACGGGTTGTCATCCGGACATTTTCCAGTAAATCCATTACTTCCTCGACGATGTCTGCTGGCAGTTTTTCCACTAAGTAACAATACCGGGTTCTCTGGGGAGGTGATTCGCTTCGCATCAAATAATGCTTGGATTTGAACGAACCAGGACTTAGTGTGTTAGTCGTGTTGAAAGCCGGGATATTCAACGATAGTGTGGCGCGGGGTTTCGAAGATTGTGATTCCATTGTGACCTTCCTCTTCGTTTTGTTCTTTTTTTTAAATGTAGTGTCTCATGTCGGTCACCAATTTGTAGAGGGTGCAAAGAAGTCCCTCAAACAAATAATAAAAAGAAAATACTACAAAATAAAGTAAAATAAACTTTTTGTTTATTTTTTAAAGAATTATTTTTTATCTTGTACAAAAAAATGAAAATTGTCCGTAAAGCTGCGGAAGAAAAGAAAAGGGAACTGGGGAATGTGAGAGGGAAAGGTTGGACTATGTGTAGCGAGCGAGATGAGAGAAAGAGGGGTGAAAAGAATGTTCACTGATACGTGACATTGCCTGTTGTGAACCGCTGAATCCTCTCGGTGTGTGTGCTCGAAACTGTCCGTGTCGCTTTGATGTCAGCTTGTCGCTGTTCTCTCTCCTTCTGATGAGAGTTTCTACCTTCCTTATATAAGAATGATGAGGCTCAGGGAGATTAAGAAATGGGTTTCTTATGTCGAGTCCTGATTGGTCAATAAATCCTTTTTTGACCACGTGGTGTGCTTTTCACTACGTCCGAACTTTTTTAGTGCGCCGTCTTTGTTTTTGACCTCACAGGGCATGGTAAGGAATGAATTCCATTTTGTATTTTTTGATACACGTGGTGTGAATTAATTTTTATTGTGGATGTGTGTGTGGAAAATAAAAAAGAAAACAGCACGATTTCCATTTTGCAAGCCATTATCAATTGCAAATGAACGCACATCAAAAAAAAACAACTGGTATTCAAAAGCAGTCACTAATCGACGTATTAACAAGGTTTAGCAGCGCTTAAATTCTCTTAGTCAGTATTAAGCAACGAAAAAAGATAATATTTCTGGATTTTATTACAATAATTATATCTGAAGTCAAATTATAAATCTACAAAAAAATCCAATATTTCTTGCGAGATGGCGTTGTATATTTCACATAAAGATTATGTGAATTATAATCATTGTCTAAATAACATATTTAGAATAATTCTTCACGGTAAAAATCCTAATCAATATTGTGAATGTGGTTTGTTGGAAAGAAATTAAACAATGACATAAGTCAGGTGGATTTTATCTTAATGTTATTCAAATTACATTAGCGCATTAAATGCAAAATAAAATTAATAGTAACTGAAAATATTAGACAGGGAGCTAACTATGTTATTTTCTAACTCGGCGAAGAATATAAATTTCAACTTATTAACCATGTTGAATGTAATAGATTTTTTTCAGCAAATAATATTTGAATAAATACGTTAACAATCAGTTGACGATTCAAGAAACGATGTTGACTGGACTGTTGATTTCGTTTGAATATTGACCTGAAAGCTACCTCAATATATAGATACCCAAAGTAGTCACGCCTTTTACATTGAAGGAAAACCTGGTGCGCTCAAAAAATCTACAAGATTTTATTTTATGCCGGAAGAATTTCACGGATCTAATGAAAGATACTGAATTTTTCATGAAGTTTATCTTTAAACCGCAGGAAGTGAAAAAATTAAAGAAACTCAAATCATTTCATGATTTCTTTTTACATAACAGCTAAACGTAAATTACAGATTATATTTAAAATATCTTGATGTCACAAGGAAATGTTTAGATCAAACAGACAATGAATTAAAATACGTGGTAATTTATCATGACATATCTGTAAAACGCAAACTGTATTATTCT